TGGTCTACCTAATTTAGGGCTAACCTGAAATATTTCACAGCCTGATATGGCTTTGCAATTAGCATCTCACCTAAATTTACACTCCAGAGTACATTATTTTGTTTTCAAACCCTATTCACCTTTTGGAAAATGCTTGTATCTAAGACATTAATTTTTCTGCTTTTTCTGGAATGCCAAAAAATCTTCTTTTGGAATTGTTACCTCAATTCCCAAAGATCTCACAAGATGATTGTGGGAACAGTTCTCCAGAATGGCTGAATAAACCTATGTAAACAAAGAAAAAAACAAAGAAACCTTCCAAAGCATATTTGTAAATAAAACTGCTATAACCTCTAAGAGGCATATGGTACATCCACATGCTTCCTGTGTCAGATATACAGGAGAAATTACCACTTGAATCCAATGGATATTAAAGTCAGCTTATGCTTTATCCATACAGCAGAATTTAGTGCCAGAAGCTAGTTGCTGTTATGTTCAATCTGTTGCACTCAAAACAGTCTTTGAGTACCCTTAAAGACCAGCTAATTCATTATAGCACAAGATGTTGTGGACTATGATAATTTCATAATTAGTTGCATAAAATAATAGCCTTGAATTTCAAGTTATGTATAGTTCCATGATTAAAAATTATAAACAGAGCAACTCCTAACAGCTCCATACATCTCTCACATCCTTTAGTCCCATAGAGTTTATTCAGGAGCAGAGAACAATCATCTAAGTTTCTAATTCCCACAGGAAAGTGATGAGCCCAGCTTCCATTTTTCTGTCTGCAACATAATCCAGATAGTCCAGACTATAGCAAAATCATAATTAATCATCATAAATAAAATTTGAAGTTATAATTAGGATTAGGAATCCAGTCCAGTACCAAAGTCTAATTTAGTAAAGTTGTTAAATTAAAAGGCAGTGAAGAAAAACAGTGAAGTAAAAAAAAAAATAACAGCGTAGAAACAAAGTTTATACCAGGAGAATTGTATATCTCTAATAGTGAAGGCAGTGAAGTTCTAGGCTGCATTAACAGAGGAATAGAATCAAAATCACGTGAAGTGTTAATACCACTTTGTAAGGCCAAACTTGGAATACTGCATCCAGTTTTGGTCACCACAATGTTTTCTAGAAGAGCAACAAAGATAATTAGGGGACTGGAAGCTAAAACATATAAGGAAAGGCTGCTGGAATTGGGTATGTCTAGTTTAATGAAGAGAAGGATAAGGTGGGATATGATAGCAGTGTTCCAATATCTCAGGGGCTGCCACAAAGAAGAGGGAGTCAAGTTATTCTCCAAAGCTCCTGAAGGCAGGACAAGAAGCAACAGATGGAAACTAATCAAGGAGAGAAGCAACCTAGAACTAAGAAGAAATTTCCTGACAGTTAGAATAATTAATCAGTGGAACAACTTGCCTCCAGAAGTTGTGAATGCTCCAACACTAGATGTTTTTAAGAAGAGATCAGACAACCATTTTTCTGAAATGGTACTGGGTGTCCTGCCTGAGCAGGGGGTTAGACTAGAAGGTCCTTTCCAATTCTGTTATTCTAAATTCTAAAGGCAAACAAAAATACATTAGAATCCCTTAAGCATTCCATGATGTGTTTGGGGCTTACCAAAAGTAGATAAGCAGGGAGCACTTGTGGTTAGACATTTTGCCATATTCATGATGGATGGCTAATCAATGATCAGGGCTTTACATATTAAGGGTACCCAAGGAAAAGGCCTGGTAACAGCAGGATTCATCTAGGGAAGATGACAATTAGTAAAGCTGCGGCTAAACCTTTCATCTTGGAATTTTACCTTAAGTGTCTGAAAGGGATGTTTTTGTGATTAAATAAGTTGCAATCAGTTTTTTAAAAATTCTGTACTGGGCCATGGATTTAAAAGATGATTACTTACACAGGCAGATTCTAAAATAAAGCTAAGTAAATAGAGACAAAATAAGGACTTAAGAATTACCCACCCCTCAACTCAACACACGTTTGGATTTCCCAACTGATATATCTCATTGCAAAAATTATCAGTTTAAATGCACAATGATTATTTCCCATCAGAATGGTCATTTTGTGTAATGCACATCTATGCATCATGATTATCAAAAGAGAATTGCAAATGACATTTAATTATATATCCCACAATAAGCTTTGAGCCACTTCAAATCAGGCACCCACATGACCAGGAAAGCATGCAAGAGAATTGAAATAAATGGAAAAGAATATGAAACGTAAGAGCTGTATCACACATTTTACTTGTCCAGAAGTCCATCCTTTATGATAGAGGTTCCTAAAACTTGTGCCTTTAGTGTAATCTTAACATATACCCCCCACCAAACACAGAAAGGAACACAAATCAACAATGAAAACAAAACTTTAGAAAAGGTAGGTTTATTGGAACAATATAATGAAAAAGTTCTTCACATCTCCTCTGAACTCTTGTCTGTATATTTCCCAGGAAGATATACCTCACAGTACGGGAAATCCTGCTTTATGAGATGGCTCTGAATCATGTGTGTCCTAATTCTTTTTTTTTTTTTTTTTTTTTTTTTGGAGCAGTAGACACAATGTCAGTAACACAGAAACCCTTGATAAGAAGATTTGTGGTTTGGACGTATCCTTCCTTTCTGTTTCAAAATATTTTTTTTAATTGAAAAAAATACAAAGGATAGAGACAGGAGAAAAAGAAAGAGATGCTTTCAAAAGCCTTTGTAGCAAATATAAGTACAATTACAAAAATTATCTCTTACATGATGATTATTCTTTTTCTTGTTCACTTTTTTCCTAATCATTAAAACCACCAATCATAAATGCATTTTTTTCTATTTCGTGCACAAAGTCTATAAGGGCTTTCCGGTGAACCATAAATGTTTCTCAATAGCCAATGAAATTAATTTAGCTATCTGTGCAACTTCCATCATCTTCACCAACCATTCCTCCGTTGTAGGCTGATATGCTACTTTTGAGCATATAATAGTCTCACTGTTGTTATCATATATAAAAACAAGCTTCCATGACTTTTTTCTAATGCTTATCCATGAGTCCCAATAGGCCTTTTCAAAAGTATTAACTTTTAAATTCTAAGCAACTTTGTGTACATGGAAGAGTATCATTCCTTTATAGAGCAACATGGACTCTAAGGTCATTTTCTAATGATGCTTTCCAAGTACCCCTGCCAAATGATTTTTTTTTAAAATCAGTGATGCTACCTGGGTTAAGGTATGTCCTTCTCTTCTTGGAAAAGTGCAGATGATGCCTACACTGTGGTCTACAGTGGATCAAATGAAGTCATTTTTATTCTCCCAGGCTCCTTAGTCTTTTAATATTTCGCTTTAAAAGTTATTAGCCTCGTTTAGATTCTTCCATTCCTATTAGCCTCCCCTAGCTGTTTATTTTGGATTGATTCTGAGACTGCTTTATTTGTTTAATGTTTTACATTAAGTTTTATTATATCTGTATATTTTATGGTCTCCACCATTCATTTCTGAAGTGCCCAGAGAGCTTTGGCTATTGAATGGTGAAGAAATTCGATAAATAAATAAATACATTTGGAGAATACCATGGGCAACGTTTTATAGTATGAACAAAAACAGCTTGCATCAAGAAATATTCCTTCCCCTTATGCTCTTATAACAGATGATTAGCAAGAGTGGATTGACTGGCTTGAAATTATTTTCCCTAATCCTCTTTCTGAAAGGAGAAGAAGATCTCTTTTCTTGGGTATAATTTGGCTGAATTTCCAAGTAGAATACCCATTTCCTGGCAGAGGTGCCATAATTACAAAATCAAATGCAATCATTAAAGCAGCAACATTTGCTTGGCATCTATTTCCATTGCTCTTTCCTCCTCCAGAACCTACCTCAACTGGAATGAAATTGCATCCAATCCTATGGAAAAGGTGAATGCAAAGAAAAATGCCAGGCACCTGCTGCCCTCTTTGATTTAAGAATCATCTTTTGGGACACTCCCTGCAGGGCAACCTACACAATTCCTCTCAGACTGCTGAGATAGCAAAATGGCAAACTTTCCAAGGAGTTCTCCATGGCAACTTGAAACCAATCCTTTAACCATTACCTCGACCTTCGCCTTCAGTCTTTTGAATTGTCTTATTTCATGCACGTGTGAGCAGAGGTAATACTAAAAATGAGTTCAAAATGACATTATTCACTTTCATTACAGCTGGGAGGCTCTGAGAACTAGGAACCTCTGTCTTAGTTTAGTTTTTATAGTTTTTAATGCTTTTAAACCATTATTATATAAAGTTTATAGATAATGACTGTTGTATATTTCTACTTTTTTATTGGACTGTTGTATGCTACCCAAAATTGCTTTCTGTGAGATGGGTGGCCATATAAATTTGATTAAATGTATGAAGGAATAAATGACAAGAATAGGCATCCACACATGAACTTGATAAGATGGGGCTTGCTTTCAGAAATTAGGGTGCTAGAAAGTTACAGAAATTGCAGATGGGAAAGGAAAAGAAAGGTAATGGAAAATAATGTGATGGGTCCTTGGTGCTCTTTGAGCTTGCTTGTTTTCTTGCAGACACTTCATTACCCAAACTAGGTAACATCATCAGCTACCAGCACTGATGATCTTACGTAGTTTGGGTAATGAAATGTCTGCAAGAAAACAAGCAAGCTCAGAGAGCATCAAGGACCCCTCTTGTCAATCCTGAGGTACAAATATTCTATTTATTAGAAAATAATGTGGAAAGAAACATCAGATGTGAGAAAAAAAATGTTTTTAATTTTTAGTGCACAATTATGGTGGAACGATGTTAAAAGCTGGATCCTGTAAAACGTTCTTCTAATTTTTGGTGTATCTTAGGTGCAATGATAGATCAACCTATATTTGGAGACATATGCAAGCATAACATAGGATCTACAGTAAGAATAATGTTATGTCACCTCAGTAACACCTCTTGTGCATAGATGTAATAGGAAATGAGTTAGATCTGCACACAATGGCCTAACATGCCTGATTTTTTTTAAAGGATACATTTGTGAGAAGGATGTTTGATAAACGTATTAGACAGCTTTTCCAAACAGAATATCTTCCTAGAGTATTGGAACTGCAATTGCCAGCATTCTCAGACAGAACAGAAATTTTAGCTCAATATACATCAGTTTAGTGAAGCTTATGTTAAACGAAAGGAATAAGAAAAAGGAGCCCATGACAGGGAGATCAGAGGAGGCCACTCAAAGAACATTACCTTAATGTTGTCTTGCCATCGATGGGTTTTCTGAAACTTCTCTGCTGCATCAGCCAGTCTCTGAAATGAAAGAGAACATACAGTATGAGTCCATAAAGAGATAGCATGAATTGCAGCAATGACCAAGGACTCATTTTAACTCTGCTCTTTCACATGGCAAATCAGCTATATCATTCTCCCAGCGTATTAAGTAGCAAAACATTTTCAGCATCCTTACTTGGCAGCTCGGCTGTGAAAAGACATTAATTAAAAATTTATGATTTCCATAAACATCTTCTATATGCAACTCTGATCTTTCTTAATTAAATGCTCAAGCTATTGGAAAACCTTGCCTTTTGTTACTTTTATGGGATCATTTTACTTCTGTGTCAGTGCAGTAGGGCTCTATTGATAGGTACAAATAAAGCTAAATAAATTACAATCAGTGGCATACCGAGTGCGATGGAGAAGCCAATCTTCAGAAACCTCATGTTGAAAGTCCAAACCTTGAGGCCAAGTTGATTAACTGATGAGGCTTGAAGCCGGCTAACATGTTATTTTTATTTTTGAGTTAATAATATTGCCTTGATCGATTTAATGCCTTGCAGTGTCCTAACAATATAAGTATGATTGGAGAAGAAAGCAAAGTATGAAACGGTCATTTTATCCTCCACAGTCAGCCTGGAACTGGGCAGCACCAAACAAGCAACTAGGCCCTGCATATTTCCCTGAAATTAAGTAGGAAACAATAAGGCTTTTGTCTGGCTTCAGCCCAAGAATTGAATGTGGATATGGATGATAGACAGCTGTGGCTCACTGAAACCACGGCTAAAGGAAAGACCGGTGATTCCTTATGCTGTTATGCAGCTATATGAAACACTCTATAACATATTTTTCTATTGTCTCATAGAAGTATCTACTCAACCTGCTGAAGGGCTCAAAATCAATGTATATGATAAGAGATTTGCAGAATTAAGTCCATTTGCTAGCAGGAAGTTATAGCCCATAGAGCTAGGACCAAGCCATTATACTGACTTACCACTAAAACAAAAAATCCTTACCTACATGAGCTCACTCACTTTTATTTGGTGGTTGTAAAATAGAATGAATTTAGTCCAACACCCTTTTCTTTTTCTTCACTTTGACAGATCATTTTCACCAAATTCAGTCTTCGAGAACTAGTATGTGTATGTATGTTGAATTTCCATCCAATTGCAATGTACCAGCCATCCAAGGATGCCATTCAGTGGTGGAGATCAAGAACTCAGGTAACATTCTAACATTCTTGTAGCAAGAACATTTAAAAACAGCCCCACCAGTTCTCTTCAAGAAGGATGTTAATGTATGAGATATGAAAGATATAACTTGTCTCCCCAACCCATTCACACAACACATATATACATACATATATACATTTGAGGGTTGGTATTGTATAGTAGTTAATGTGCTAGACTAGGAACAGAGACTGCTATTCCACATTGCTCAAGCAAAGGCTCTGCATAAACAATGCATTTTTTTTCTCTTAGGCATGAAACACTCACTTATAATCAATGTTTTATGTGTCTCGGGTTCTTTAGAAATATCAACACCTTTCAGAAGGGCAATTATCCCAAAGGAACATGCAACAGTCATAAACCCAATTTAGAACAATATATCACAAGATTCCATAAAACAAAACACAGAAGCTGTAAAATATACAACAATTAACCTGAGGCCAACCAAAACCATGCTTCCTAATATTCAAATTAAAAACAAAGCAAAACATTTTTCCTCAATACTGCAAAGTTTTTCTCCCTCAAAGCAATGCAATATTGCAGCTTGGACTTTCCCAATAAACAATCCAAAGGCTCCATCTGGGCTGGGAGAGTCCAAGCAATCTCTCTTCCAAGCAAAGCAAATGTTCTTCAAGCTGCTTTTTAAAAACTGCTTGTTGGAAGGCTTCCAAAGTGCAGAGGAGAGAAGCCTACAGAAGAGGAATGCCAATTTTTTCCAGGAAAGGAGAAGACTGTCCCTTCCCATTTTTCATCTTTTTTCCCCAACCCTTTATAAGCTCAATAAGACAGATATGACATAAATAGGCACTCTCACAAACATCATGAATCTAAATTTTGAAGAGCTTTAAAAGTGATAACCAGCTTTTTGCAATAGCAATAGCTCTTAGACTTATATAATGCTCCATAGTGCTTTACAGCACTCTCTGGGTGGTTTACAGAGTCAGCATATTACCTCCAACAATCAGGTCCTCATTTTATCAACTTCAGAAGGATGGAAGGCTAAATCAACTTTGAGCCAGTCAGGATTGAACTCCTGGATGTGGTCAGAATTAACCTGCAATACTGCATTCTAACCACTGCACCACTAGAGTTCTTAATGTACTGGAAGTAGACTGGCAGCTAGTGCAACTCCCATTGTTGACATGTTACATGGCTGTCATGACAGTCTTGAACTTATAAGCTGTCCTAGATCCTATCTGAAATTCCCCAGAACCAAAGGTCTGGGCAAATCATTCTCCAATCCACCTGGGATATCCAGAAGTTCATTCTTCCCCAACCTAGAAAGTGCTGATCACTAATTCTGGGAGTGAAAGTTACCACAAATGTGGAAAGCATCAGGAATGTTAATCTATGTATTGGATCAAGATTTTTTCCAGGAAGTGATGTGGTTAAAGATATCATAGTAAGTTAACTACTTTATTAAATGAAAATAAACTAGTATATATTATCAAAGAGAAGTCTGGGTCTATGATGGTTTGCATTTAGGAAGCTTATTTTCTTTCTCAACAAAACTTCCTTTCTCCCTCCCTCCCTCCCTCCCATCCTTCCTTCTTTACTTTCCTTTTGCATCTGCTGAAGCAGTGATATGAATTTTGGTTCAGATACATTCACTTTAGCACTCATCTGCAGACAACTTGTTCTAGTTCTTTCCAAATATTGTCATTTCATTCTCTCTTTAAGCTTGATAGAAATGTATAGCAAAGCATTTCAGAAACATCTCATGGTAGACAGAAAAGTTTCCCATAATCCCATGGACTAAGGAAAAGTAGGAGAGCTGGGAAAGAAATAAATTAAAAGTGCAGAGAATTGATTTGTGTAACACATTTACTCTGAAATAGCAGTGCTTGTTCTTTATTTTTAATTAAGCTAAAAGGTATGAATATACTGAGGCCATGGACTTCCAAAGGGATCAATTTTGCCTCAGGAAGTAAATTAAAAACAGAAAGCGCAATAAATGACATCCTGCTTGAGGTACCAGTCAGACTCTACCTTGATTCAGAGGAATATACTTTCATAGAAGGAGAATAATTTCCGCCAAGCTTGTTGGGCCACTGGCTCTTGGGATCCAACTTTGCCCTCAGACAGTGAGAGCTAAATGCATTTATGTCATAAAGATGTAACAACGTGAGACTAAAGTTTAGGCACTTCTGTAAGCAAACACAAACTCACAATTCTTCATTTCCCCACAGAGCAAGCCCATCCTTGGCTTCTTTCCACAAGGGAAATTATATTCAAACATAATAATAGAGCCCTACATGGCAAAGTAAAAGAGTAATTAAAACTGCCATGAATTAACAATTAACAGCAGAAACTGAGGGTAGAGATAAAATTACAATTGTATTAGTAATGGATAGATTTAATAAGCAAAATATTCTGCATTCAGCTGAAAACAATCATTGGCTTTATTTGTGTTCTTGTGTGTGGTGGTAGAGTAACAATTTTTTTATTTTGTTTCGCCTTAGCACTTCAGTCTCACTCTTCAAAATGCATTTGAAGATTTTTGCAGGAGAGGTGTTAAGTGAGTTTTGCCTCATTTTACAACCTTTTTGTCACAGTTGTTAAGCGAATCACTGCAGTAGCTAACTGATTCATGTGATCCTTAAGTGAATCTGCCTTCCCCCATTGACTTTGCTTGTCAAAAGGCTGGGAAAGTTACAAATGATGATTACATGATCCCAGGAGAGTGCAACTCTCATCAATACTTGCCAGTTGCAAAATATCCAAATTTTGATCACTTGACTATGGGGATGCTGCAATAGCCATTAGGGTGAAAAACAGTCAAAAGTCACTTTTTTCAGTGCTGTTATAACTTTGAACGGTCACTAAATCAATAGTTTGTAAGCCAAGGGTTGTCTGTAATAACAATACGAATCACAGGGTCCAAGACAGTAAGCCTCACAATTCAAACATTTGTGAAGCAAAAATAACAAGAACCTGTTTTGCTTGTTCCTTCCTCAGGGCCTGTAAATGGCAACAGCCAGAAGAAACTTGGTGGGATTTTGACAGAAGTGTAAGAAGAGCCTTCCATCCTGGATCCATTGCAAATAGCATTAAAACAGAATCAACCAGACCCACTGCCTATACTTGATCCAGACTTTGGAAGTTACCTGGGTAAATATGATCAGTACGGGATCTACAGAGCTTAGAAAGCAGTTATGAAACCTGAGAAACAAAATTCCACTTCATATCAGAAACATACGATGTTTCCTTTAGCATTTCTTCAGTCAAAAGAGATTTCTTCAGAAGCAAAGCACTGTTTGAACTAGCTGTACTTCACAAAGAGCGATAGCATCTATAATCAATAGCTGCTCTACATTTGCTGAATACATCTTCAGCAACTTCACTTCCAGAAATACTTTGTTCCAGGATTAGTGAGCTTACATAGTAGAAGTTTTTGTTTTTGAGGTTTTTTTTACATTTTTAGAAATCCTGGGGTCCCCCTCTTCCTATTTATTGATCCCTCTCTTAGTGGCCCATTTTTGATCCCACCTAATGCTCATCATTGATATTAAAGGGAACTGTGTGCATCTCAAATTGTGAAATGTACTATAAACAAATAATATACATACATGTGCGCGCACAGACACATATACAGAGTGTAAAAATGAAAGATGGATAAATAGAAACATTATTTCTTTAGATGGGTATATTTGCATAAATCTTGCAAGGTCTCATAAGTGAAGACAGAGATCTTACAAGCTGCGGCTAGCCTGTAAGAATTTATTTATTTATTTATTTAAAAAATTGGAAGTCAGTGGGTGATATCAAAAAGTATTATGGGTACTGTAACACCCACTGACATTATGC